AGGAAGCCAACTGCAACAAGTCGAAGGGACCGGCGCCGGATGATGACCTTGATGATGATGACTTTGCAGGACTTTAGAGGCATACTAGTTGTTGTTTGTACGTTTTACTTCTTTTAGGACTTCAGAGATATATAAGATATTTTTTGTATGTTTTATTTTGTTTAGAACTTTAGAGACATTTTAGTTGGAGATTTAATGGTTGTTGTTGTTCACTTTTGTTGATATACTATTTAATTTTAATTTAATTGTTTATCCAGTATTTTTTTGGATTTTTGTTGCTCAATTTATGTATTTATGTTCATTTGGAATCCTTGTTGTTTACATGAAAATTAACAAAAATTTAATACATTTTTTTATTTTAATTCCAGAATTTGTGGCGAAAATTTTCAAAATACCCTTGCAAATTTCGTAGCCTTTTGCGAGGGAAAATCAAAATGTTCCCTTGCAAATTTTGCTACGAAATTTTGCGAGGGAAATTGTACTCGCAATTTCCGTCACAATCTGCGACGGAAAAACACTGTAGATAGGTCTGTTGTTCGCGAGGGAAATTTACTTTTTTGCAAGGGAACTTTTCCGTAGCAATTTGCGAGAAAATTATCATATGACAAATTTCCCTTGCAAATCTATTTGCGACGAGTGTTTTAGCGAGGGACCGTGTTCCCTTGCAAATTCCGTCGCAGACAGTTTTTGCAAGGGAATTTTTTCCTTACTGATTGTGAATTTTCTAGTAGTGGCATATTCCTTTAGGTATCCGATTACAACCCAAAATATAAATTAATCGTTGAATCTAGCTTCACAAACCAAACTATTGATGACTTACGTTATTGAGTATTGCATATTCCAAATCCTTTATGGTTTTATATTTTTTTTTTATAAAGTAAGATTTTAATCGTTATGCGAATTAGTCTCTCGTCCCACTGAAATTTGGTTTTTATTTATATATTTTTAAAGAGTTGTTATATAAATTTTTTAGGTATTATTTTTAACGAGTTATTAAACATTTGTTTGATATAGCTTCTCATGACACATGTTTAATGGTACAAATATAACCAACAATCAATAAATATTTAATAATTTAGGAAAGTATGAACATTAAAAAAAAAAAAAACACACATACTATAATAACTCTTGTATTAAAAGAAAATCAAATATGAGAACTAACATTTTATTTTCTGGATAACAATACCCTTAAACATTTATTTTTTATTGTCATCTAATGGAATATTGTCTCCTTTACTATTTACCATTACAGAAAAAAAATCTAATAAAACAATTGACTCTGGAAATTTTAGAGTATTAAATCTGGGATAGATTATTCTACCTACTCTTATTTTGCCTACCTTTACCGTTAGATTACAATCTCATTCAACGGTGGAGATTTTCAGAATAAAATAAATCTTTTTTCCCTTTCTTTCTCCTCACTACCTCGCACACTTTTTCTCTCTCCTCCCCTTTCGCTCTATCGATTTGCGTAATTTATAACTTGAATTTATATTTGAATTTAAATCCATGAATGATTAATGGCAAGATAATTCTGCTGGATGAGTATAATTTTCAAAATTCCTTGAATCTGATATAATTGAACACGACAAAAATCACAAAAATTTGAATCTAAATTCTTGAATCTGATGTATTTCAAAATACACGATTACCGCAACGTTTTTACTCTGCTATTGAAATTTGAAATCTGATCAACTTATCTCCTTCTTCTTATTCTGTTTTTCACCTTGAAGTGGGGAAATGATCTCTGTTCTTTTCTGTTACGCCCAACAACAGGTCTACCTGGTTCCATAACATAGGGCATCTGGGTTTGTTTCTTCTTGACACCCCATTTCAATTTTCTATGTAAATGCTCATAACAATGGATGGGTTGGATGAATTGAGAAAAAAGCTTGTACTTTTTTTTATGCTGAAGCACCATTGAAGAGGGAGAAAGGGGAGGAGAGAGAGAAAGTGTGGGAGGTATTGGGGAGAAAGAAAGGAAAAAAGGATTTATTTTATCCTGCAAATCTCCATCGTTGGATGAGATTGTAATCTAACGGTATTGAAAGGTGATCAGATCAAATCTTTACAACTAGGCCGATCATGTGATCTTTCTCTACATAGGCCTGTAACCGTCTTGGGTCAGAGCATCTTGGAGTGGGGCCACTTTATCCCATGGATCTTCGATGGAACGCGATGAGGGGTGTACCTACAAGACACTCCGACGCTCAAGTCAGATATGGTTCAAGCAGGTTTAATTATGTAGGAGAAGATAATGTACCTTAGTGTTGATACATGTATTTATACTGGAGATATGTGCAGCTTGGAGGGTGTCTTTCTTCATGGTGAAGGCAAATGTTCCTCTCTATTGGTTCTTGTGGGTGGCTGAGATAAGATGCAGTTTGCTTGTCTTAGTGCCAAAGTATTAGAGCTGCCATGTTTAATGTTGAGGAGCTTGATGAGATAAGGCCATTAATATTGTGCAGCTTGATGGCTGTCATGAGCTTGCTGTTATAGATGAGATAGCAGCTTGTGGAGTTTGCTGTCATGGAGTCATTAATATTATGGAGCTTGCAGCCTTCTTGGACTAAGGCATTGCTTCATTGTGAAGGCTTTGAATTTTGGGCCTTGTATTTGTATAATATTTATCCAGATCAAAAGGGGAAGGCATAAGGAGACAAAATAAGAATAGGCAGAATAACATATTCCATTAAATCTGTATTAAATGATGACAAACAATAAAATAAAAAACAATATCAAGAGAAATATAATTGCGAGAGTTAAATGTAGGAACCAATTTTAACCAGCAGGTCACTACTCCTTTTTCTGAGGAAAGATTTTCCATATCCTAAGATTAAATGGGCATTACTTACAACTAAGCCTGTTGAATGCATAGCGTGCACCCAAAAAAAGAAAAGGATAAAAGAAAAAAGGAAAGAGAAAAAGGAAAATGGGTGGCACGAATAAAGGATGCAATAAAAGCGTGGTTTAGTGTGGTGTTGTGTTGTTATGTATGTGTGTGGCACACTGAACATCAGCATCACCACCACCACCACCTTCCTTTTCTTAGCAATGTAAAGGTGGGTTAGCCATACATCTCTATGAGAAAGAGGAGAGAACAACACCCCCATCATAGATGGCTACGTTTGCTTCGAAAGCCTTGAAAATTAGGAATCAGCCACCCTTCAATGGTGAGTTCCAAGATGGAGACTAGACACGTCTTTTTTTGCCATCAATGAAAGCTGCATATGAAAACGATTTGTATCCATTTCAAAAGCAAAACCATTCTACCTTACACGTGTTAAAGTTAACTCAGAATGCGTGGCACAGTCCAACCTAGTTGCACACAAGCTTCACTACCAACCCAAGCAATCCAAGGCGTTTGATTGAGGAGAAATTTTTTGAATACTAGAAAAATATAATTGATACAAAAATGGTTGAAAAGTGAGTTTGGTAAAAAAATGTAAAAAGAGTTGTTTGGTTTGAAAAAATTTAACCGGACAAATTAGGTAAGATTTATAAAGTCTATGTTTGGTTTGAAGTAAAATATAGATGAAAAAATAAGTGACAATTACAAAAATGTCCATAAGAAATCATTGTTTACATAAATCTACAACTTCACAATTAGTTTTCTAATACAAAATGGAGGTCACTTTAGTCACAATTTTCACTCTCAGTTTTCTACTTCCCTAGTTTCCCATAAATACCACATCTCAATAGGTATTCTTAAACAGTGAATTTAAGCACAAAATCAACTGAAATATGGTTTCCTATGCAAACTTCTTTCCTAGACTTTTTTTTCTTAAACTTGTACCAAACATAACATTTTGAAATACCTACCCACACTTCCCCATTTATCCCAAAAGAAAACCCCAACCAAACACACCCTTAAAGCATAGGAACACTCTCTCTATAGCTATGACACATGAAAATGTTCTCGCTTTTATAGCTCCATATTTGTTTTCTATATTTGATTTTAGACAAAAATCCATTGATACTATTACTAAAAAAAAAAAAAAAATCCATTGATACGAGAGTCCCAAGTTGGTTCAGCGGTTTTATTAAAAAAATATACACCAATATCCAGCTGTCACAACTCCTTGGGCAAAGCAAAACCTACTTTTAATTATAGTGAAAAAGCAACCAAGTTTTCAGCAAGATACAGCATACAAGAGACCCTTTTCAATTTAAATTTATTATTAACTACTTAACGATATTGTCCTTTCTTAGCTCACCAAAAAAAATCAAATCCCATCTAGGAGGACCGTCCTGGCCATTGTTTGAATTTAAATTTATTACAATATAAAAAAAAGAATTTATATATACAGTTAAAAAGTAAAAGACAGTTTATCAAAAAAGAAGAAAAGAAAAAGTAAAAGACAAGAAAGAGGCACACATCATTATCAACAACCAAGCTTTCAAAAGAGGTGGTTCTTGACAGATTGAAAGAAATATACAAAACTCTGCTTCTTAGTAAATGCTTGAGGAAGCTATAATCCAATCATGCTTTTCAGCACTCAAAATATACATTAAATAGAATGAAAACAAGTAAATGGGAAATTTCCTGAAAGAAACGATGCACATGGAAGAGAAAGAACCCCAGTATATGAACATTGACTAATGTGGAGGCACTGGTCAACTTCAAGGGATACAATCAACATGGTGTTAAGCACAAGATTATTCAATCCAATACTTACCTTTAATCTTACTTTGAGCAGAAGACACCTATATTCTGGAGTGAAACTCAGGAAGTAGAGAAATGAAATTTGACAGCATTTGAACGCATTACACTTCCCTAATTTTCAATGACTCATTTTCGAACTTCCCTTTGTACTCTTACAAAGAGTGTAAACTGTAAAGCCTTTTAACAATCACAAGCCAATGTCACTATGTCTATTTGGAACAAATGAATCTAATTTAATTCCATTACTAACAAATCCTGATATTACCACTTTATTAGCAGTTCGATTCTTTCCTGATTCAAATACGCAATTTAACAAACTTAAATGAAAGCTCAAACTGAAAATCCTTTCCCCTTCCAACATTCACCTGCTTACATTGAAACAAAACCACCTTTCACCTATCTTTAATTCTCCAAAATATGATAAAATCATCACAAGACATCACGCTTGAAAATGAAAACAGCCCAAATATTACACAACTCGAATATAAATAAAGCAAACCAACATATTGACAGCGAAAATTAGTATATATATGCATTGGATACAATATTCCCACAAATTGGAAATTTTCCTGTTTCCCCCAACCCAAGCAGAGGGAATGCCCTAACCAAAGACCCAACTCAAGAGAGATGAAAGAAGGAGAGATACAGAACCAACATGATTGTCTTCTCCCACATCGTAAACCACTAATGAGCAGGTATAAGTCCATAATTTCATAAATTATACCTTAAAGCAATTGCTCCTCTTGCTAGTATTATGATATATGTACACCAGTGCACCTACTTCATAGAAGACTGCTGTCCTCTGGTTAGCATGGAGCAGAAGAAAGCTTGCTGCTATGTTAGCACCGGGAAACTCAGTACAGCCGTGGCCAACAGGTAGATTCTCCCACAGGATCCAAGTTTTAAAATCTTTATGCAGCAACTGTATCAATTACTGATGTGTGAAAAATGATAAACCTTTGTAAGTATAAGCTTTTCAAAATATTTAATGCAGTACTCAATAAAAGGCATTGATTTAAAACCCAAAAAAAAAAAGGAAAGAAAAGAAAAGAAGAGACAAGAACAAGAGAAACAATCAAAGCTACAATTGATGATATGTTACAATTGTCAACGTGGACAGCTGCATTTTAAAGGTGATTGTTTAAGAGGAATTGGATGCAAGTGCGGGCTACATAGAAGGAAAGAATTTATGCTTTTGTTCAAATATAGTTAAAAAAATAAAATCTCACTCCTCATTAAAACCCAACTAAGGAGGATAGGGATGAGGGCAATTCTTGAACACAACTTTACTTTTTAAAGATCTGTAAAGAGACTGTTTCCAGAATTCGAATATAGTAATTTTAGAAAAACTGGCTGGAGTTTAATAAACTTATTGTCAGACCTAATATTTCTGGGATACTATAAAAGACAAGGTTTAGAATTCGTATGTTCCACTCCAATCAAATGCACCAAATAATGGGATGAATTGCATCATAGCTTCCTTGGAATACAGAAATAAATGACTCACTGTTTCAAAAATTGAATTGCACGTGAGATTTACAAGAGATAGTATATGTATAATACAAACTATTATAGAGGCCCTCATCTAAAAGCTTATGCTGTTAGGTGAGGGCCCCTTTAATAGTTTCTATTATACTCTAATAGTATAAGGTCAGCGAATCTGAAGCAATCATCTTATTCAGTACTGCTGTGCAAAGACTCCAAACAAAAAGATTTGACCAGAGGAATTCTTTCACTATTCAGGTAGTGGCTTAAAAATTGGAAAATGGATTAAAACACACACCAGAAGGATATAGATTCCCAAGTCATCTATCAGAGTTGGCAGAGAACAGAGTGAATTCAAGTAGAATTAAGAGGAACTGTAAATTTATAAATTCTTTATCACTCTAGTTTTTTCTACAGAATATCAGTTTAGATAATTAAAATTAAAAAAAAAAAAAAAAAAAAACTCTCAAAAATTACTGACTGGCAAAGGAGGGGTGAGAGTGAGCGAGCTTTACCACTGCTTCGGGCTCACTCTCTTAAAATTTAATGGGGAAATCACGCAAAATAGAAAGGATAGTGACAAGGAAAAGCATATAAGAAGGAAATGCTTCATACCCAAATATCCTCACAATAATTATACAAGAATCATTACCCAAACTAAAAGAAAACAGAAAACTAAAAGATTTACAACCTTGAAAGATGAATTTCGAGGGACTAGCCTGAGTTGTATGGATCACTAGGCTGCATTCCATCTTTTATGATCTAAACCATACTAACTTTGAATTAAGCGGTGCCGTAAACAAGTAATCTCTACTGAAAGCCCCACAGCCATTTAGCCTCTACAACAATATTTTTAGACACCAAATTTCCAAGACCCAATCTACTACATTTTTAGGTTTGCAGATCTCCCCAGTTTGAAAATGTTTTTGATTGATTGATCCCAAATAGGGGGGGTTACAATATATACACCCTAATTAATTACATGGATTTACCCTAATTAATAAAATAACTAGTTGATCACTAAGAATAAGGAAACAAAAAATACAATGATTTTCCACATCCTGGTGACACAAGGAGATCATTTTCCCCTTAAGTTAAAAGGAAATTTTATAGAACAACAATAAGACCTACATTGTTAGATGGAGCTGAATATTGGCCAACACATAAGCAATATGAGCAAAAAATGAGAGTAGCAAAAATGAGAATATTAAGGTAGATGTGTGATCATACGAGGATGGATAAGATAAGAAATGAAGATATTCGACGAAAGATGAGAGTAGTATCGGTGGCTAAAAAGATGAGAGAACATAGATTAAAGTGGTTTGGACATGTAATGAGAAGACACCTGAATGCTTCCGTAAGAACAAAAAGCTTGTTACCAAGATCTTGACACAATAGGGGAAGAGATAGACCGAAACTTACTTGAGGGAAGGTAATAAAACAAGACTTAATGGAGTGATATATAAATTGGTATCTTAGGACGGATTGAAAAAAGGCTATTAGCATGGTAGAGGGTTAGACCCCTTTTTTCTTATTATGTTCCAGATGGTCCCTTTTTAGCTCTTTTTCGCTTTATCTCCCTCTCTTACTTTCCTTACGTCCCTTTTTTTAATCTCTTTCCTTCTTTTCTTGTATTTCCTTTTCCCTTTCAATCTTTTTTCTCTTGTCTATTTATTTATGTATTTTTCTTCATTTCACTATTTTTTCCCCTCTATTCTCTTTTTTTATTATTTTTCCTTTCTTATTCTTTTTTGTCCTTATATATCTTTATTTTAATTTATTTTTCCTTTTATTTGTTTACTGCTACTTTTTTTATAGATAATGTTATATATATATATATATTTAAATTTTTTTTTTTATCTTTTTTCTCAATTTTTTATTATTTATCATTTGGATTCATCTGCCACCGACCCCAACTAGTTTGGAATAAAGATGTTGTTGATGTTGATATTAATGTTGTCTAAATAGGACGAAAGAAAATCTGTCATTATTTTCTGGATTATTTGAGCCATAGCTACCAAGATTTGAGAAGTTTAAAGAAAAGCACGGTATACGAAGAGAACAAACAAAAATAAGAGTAATCTGATCATCCAAGAAGTAGAAAGCATCCTTCCAATTGTAATAAAATAATGACATTGAATTTGATAAAAACAAAAATTTCAATTACAGCAAGCACACCTGAATGAGCTATACACTTATAGCACAAGACATAGTATGAACTAAGATCCTTTGATTAGTCAGGGGAGTGTATAACATGATATTTTAGCATATCTAGAACCACTTTCCACCTTCCAGAGGTATGTCCAGTAAAAAATTCTGCATTCACAAGGACACCAACATACAGTGCTTCAGCAGACAAGAAAGGCAGAAAAGAAAGCCAAGATATAAGATATGCTAGTTCACATGTCAGACCTTAACATTTGAAACAACATGTAAAATTTGAACTAAACCAGGAAGAAGGAACCAATAGTAGTCTGTCCAAGAACCTTGGAACTCCGGTCCAGACCATGAGAAGCAACCTAAGCATATAAAATAACCATTGATTAAAATATTAATTAATATAAGAAAATTGAAAGACAGATAAGGGGTAAAATAGAATATATCCTTACCATATAGGTCAAAGCAGCATAACGTTCCTCATTCAGGTAAAGTGGCTTGCCTCGATTCATTTCAAAATCCTGAAGTAAAAAACATTACCAATAACAGATTTGAAAAACTGTAGATAAGATAAATTTAAACTTCTACCTTAAGCTGCTACATAATCAAGCACCTAAATCCTGACAACTTAAACAGAATTCCAAAACAAGCAATCACGAATTATAAGAAATTATTTACTTTGCTGAAATAGTAGGAATTTGATGGAAAGAGAGAAGGGACACTTGAAGGTTAGAGCGCAACCTAGATATGACTGATATTGTGTGTATATTATGCCGGATATGCATAATCCTAATTGATTCTACAATATACATAATATGACCTAAAATATTTGTAAAGAACCAATTCAACACAACAACTTAAGCTGGTGGGTGAGGGCTTATTAATGGTTTATACTATTCTCTAACACGTCCCCTCACACGAGAGCCCACTGGGTTAGAAGAGTGGACAATGCACAAGCCCACCTACATATGCTAAGAAAATCCACAAGAAAATATGGAGTGCGGTGAGGATTGAACCCGTGACATCGAAGCTCTGATAACATGTAAAGAACCAATTCAACCCAACAGCGTAAGCTGATGGGTGAAAGCGTTTTAATGGTTTATACTATTCTCTAACAATATTCTAACACTTCTGTCGAGCTGGTGCACATATATCATATGCGCAAGCTTGTCACATATATAGTTGACTCAAGGACCTCCAAGAACCTAAGATGAAGATGTTTGCAAGTTGATCATTAGAGTGTATAGACATTGCCATCTCTCTAGATAAGATATTTCATTTGGTCTGAGTATGGCAAGCCAATTTCTTGACTCATCATGCGACTCTCACTGGGATGTTCTTATTAGAGTATTGCCATACATCAATGTCATTGGTATAAGAGTGTTTCGACTTGTCTCTCCTAACATAACCCTAGACCCGCTGTTCCCACTTCCCAATAGCACATATCACAAAACCAATTGCCCACTATTGTCCAATGGTCTTTTCCTCCTCGCAAGCCTGTATTGTCTCTACCTCCCAGGCGCGTCACTTTCCAGCAAGCCCCTGCTGCCATTCCATTTTCCGGTAACCAGGAAACTTTTACGAGCAACTTCGTAATCACCAGATCTGAAGCCAGTAGCCAGGCCATCCAAATCCCGAAAGCCAATTGCCATTCGCTTCTCCATGCACTGCCATGTGCCTTCAGAAGCTGCTGGCATCTACACACTTGCGCCGGCACATGAGAGCGCATCACTTGCTATTCTGATGTTGTTCATGCACATATCTGTCTAAAATCTGAGCACAAGCCCACCCTTGGCCTGCATCAACCATCTAGGGATGATTTATGTTAGAAATAAGTGTATTAAATAGTACTGTATATTTATTATTCTGTTATTCTAGCAAGTTATTTGGGCTTGGCCCATTAGGTCTTTTACCCTCTTTAAATAGAGGAGTTTTGTACAGTTCTATATACAATTGAATACAACACAATCATACATTCTAATTTGGTATCAGAGCTCTTTGTTCTGGGAACTTTAGCTTCCGCTAAAACCCTAAGCCCACAGCTTAGGCGTTCTCTCCTTCCTCTAACGCTGTGCGTCCCTTCGGCTTGTTTCTGCAATGTTCACGCGGGAGTACTGTTCATTGATGTTACTGTCCACATGACATTGTTCACCGCATCCGTACAGGTCACTATTCAACGCGTCTGTACAGGTAGTGTTCACGCGTCCGTACAGGTATTGTTCACACGTCTTTTCCGACCATTCCAAGACAGAACAGCTCGCCTTCCTCTCCTCTTTCCAGATCTGGTCTCTATTCGTTGTGGGTCCCATCCATTAAGAAGATATTAGCGAAAAACACATTGTTTGGACATCTTTTTAGTTAATTTTTGCTGGATTTCTTGTGAGTTTGCTATTTCTTTCTTTTATCTGGTCATCTCTTTTATTTTTGGGATGGAGGGCTCAGGTAATGCGTCCAAAAACACTATTGGCGTCATCTCCAGTACTACCCCATCCATTACAACGATGAAACTGACCGGATCTGCTACTTACAAGACCTGGTCTACCTCGGTTAAGATCTGGTTTACTGGTCAGGGATACGGAAAACATCTCACAACTAAGTTTGCCGATATTTCAAAGGATCAGACATCTGAATGGGAAAAGGTTGATGCTCAACTGCTAAGTATCCTTTGGCATTCCATTGATCCGACAATTATAGACATTTTAATCCCTTTTGAGACCTCTTATGACGTATGGGAGGAAGCTAAAAACCTGTACACCAATGACATTCAACAGCTTTATTCCATTGTTTCTCAAATAATGAAATTACGCAAATCACCAGAATCTCGAATAGAGACTTATATTGGTAAGATTCGTTCTTTGATGCAAGAATTCTTGCTATTTTACCTCATGCTGCAGATGCCTCTGCATACAAGAAGCAGGTGGAGCGCTTTTTTATGGTTATGACCCTCTCCGGTCTTTTAGAAGAGTTAGAAAGTGTTCGTGAGTATATTCTAACCAGTGTTGAGACTCCTAGCCTGTCACACACATTCCAGCGCCTTTTGAATCTTAAGGATAAATCAACAGTTCCCACATATGTGCCAGCTACCGATTCCACTGCATTCTTTTCTCGTGCCAATGATTTCAATTGGAACAGTAGACACAGTCGCAGACATGGCCGTGGACAGGGTGGCCGCGGACAGAGGCCTCGTTGCAATTATTGCCAGAATCTTGGACATTTTGAAGAACGCTGCTATAGGAAGTACCCTCATTTGAAGCCACCGACTGCCAACTTTGCTCAGATTGATGCTACACCACCTTCTACTGGATCAGTAATTCTTTCAAGTGCCGACTATGAGGCACTTCTCAAGAAAGTTTCTTCTCAGCATCCTACTCAAGACACTGGTAATCATGTTGCTTGTCTTTCTCAATCATCTCTTGGACCCTGGATAATAGACTCAGGTGCTACTCATCACCTTTGTGGTAATAAAGATCTCTTCACTTCACTTTCTTATTCTAAAATCCTACCCTCTGTCACTATTGTTGATGGCACTAAGGCTCCTGCTCGTGGAATTGGGGAAACCAACCCAATTCCCTTTTTAACTTTGAACTCTGTTTATTATATATCTGGCATTCCCTTTAATTTAATCTCTTTTAGCCCGTTGATTCATTCTCTTTCATGTACGGTTAACTTCTCTAAACAATCTTTATCTATGCAGGATCCAGGTACGGGGAAGACGATTGGAGCGGGCATTGAGTCACGAGGTCTCTACTATTTGATTGCACCACCTTCTTCAGTAGCGTGTTCTCTCACAGAGTCTCCTGAGCTTATTCACAGCCGTCTAGGTCATGCAAGTCTCTCAAAGCTTCACCATATGGTTCCTTTTTTATCAAGTTTAAGTCTTTAAACTGTCAGTTGTGTCAGCAAGGAAAGCATACTCGCTCCTCCTTTGCTAATAGAGTCAATAAAAGAGCTGACGCTCCTTTTTCTATTGTCCATTATGATATTTGGGGTCCGAGTCGAACAATGTCTGTTTTGGGTTTTCAGTATTTTGTAACCTTTATTGATGATTTCTCTCGTTGCACTTGGGTTTATTTAGTGAAAAACCGTTCTAATTATTTTCAATTTATCAAAAATTGTGCTGAGTCAATTTGGTGCTTCTATTCAAATCTTGCACAGTGATAATGCAAAAGAGTATGCGTCTCTTGAATTTTCTAATTTTTTGGAGAAACGTGGGACATTACACCAGACCACTTGTCCACACACTCCACAACAAAATGGAGTGGCCAAATGTAAAAATAGACATCTTGTTGAAACTGCACGTACCCTACTAATTCATATGAATGTTCCACTTCGTTTTTGGGCAGATGCTATAATCACCTCTTACTTTCTCATCAATCGCATGCCCTCTTCCGTGCTCAATAATGAAGTTCCATATAGTTTATTATTTCCAGGAGCACCTTCCTATCCTCTGCCTGCACATGTATTTGGATGTACCTGCTTTGTTCATGATTGTTGAGATATATAGTCCCACATTGGTTGTATGGGCAACTAATGTGACCTTTATAAGGCCTTGGGCACTCCCACACTTTGAGCTAGCTTTTGGGGTGGTGTATCCCAAGGTTCTTTACATGGTATCAGAGCCTCGTGTCCCGGGTTCAAACCTCGTCGCCCCCCACTTTCTCTTGAGGAATTTCTTAGCACAGGTAGGTTGGGCCTGTTGCATCATCCACTCTTCAAGCCCAATGGGCTCTCGTGTGAAGGGGCGTGTTGAGATATATAGTCCCACATTGGTTGTATGAGCCAACTAATGTGGCCTTTATAAGGCCTTGGGCACTCCCACCTTTTGAGCTAACTTTTGGGGTGGTGTATCCCAAGGTTCTTTACAATGATCTTAATCCAAGAAAAGATAAATTAACATCCAAAGCCTTCAAGTGTATTTTCCTTGGATATACTCTTTTTCAAAAGGGGTATCGTTGCTACTCTCCTGATCTCAAGCGTTATATTGTTTCGGCTGATGTTACTTTCCTTGATCAACAATCTTTTCATTCTATCCCGTCTCAGATAACACAGGTTGATCAGGTTCTTTCTGTTCCTTGTTCTTTACCAGTTGCAGGTGACTCTATCCCAGAGGAGCGGCCCCTTGCCTCCATCCCTGAGGACCGTCCTTTTCTCACCTATCAACGTCGTCAGACTGTGCCTCCAGCGGATTTGACCCTTACTGACTCACTGCCTTCACCTGTCGACTCTTCCCCTCTGAACCCTCCAACAGAGATTACTCCCATTGCCCTTCGCAAAGGTATTCGATCCACTCGCAACCCTCATCCACTTTATAGTTTCTTAAGTTATGATAGACTTTTTTCACCGCATTTTACTTCTATTTCTAGTATTTCGTCTGTTTCTATTCCTAAAACCACAAGTGAAGCACTATCTCATCCAGGTTGGCGCCAGGCGATGATTGATGAAATGCAAGCACTTCACTTGAATGACACATGAGATCTTGTTCGCGCTCCTCCAAGAAAGTCAGTTGTCGGTTGTCGATGGT